GTCCACCTCCACCTGAAGGACAAAGGACATTCTTTTGAGGACAGTGAAGTCCAGATCCTCTCCAGAGAACATCGCTGGTTTGAGAGAGGAGTTAAGGAAGATATTTTTGTAAAAATAGAACACCCCCCACTAAATAGGGGCGGTGGACTAAGACACAACTTATCACCCATCTACAATCCTGTTTTGAGATCTCTGCCCAAACATGCCCACCAGGATAATAGGCGTCGGTCCAGAGGGGAGGGTTCAAAGACAGGTAATGACACTCACCGATACTGGGCTATAACAACTCAGTCGTTAGGGGACATTGTTGGCCCTCAAAGGACTGAAACACCACAGAGGGGGATAAATATCTCCGGCTCAACACCAGTCAGGCAGAGCTAATGAAGCCTTTCGGATGAGAGGTGAAACGTCTTCAACCTAGAAGCCTGGTCCAGTTGATTTTTTCCATTTTTTTTTTCCAGTGTATGCTTTTCAACACTTTTGATTTAGGCTACGCAGTTCCTTATAACATATTTCTAAACCATAGCTGAATGTTGATATGTCACCAGTGAATGTGTTACTGTACAATTAAATCAAATCAAATTTATTTATACAGCACTTTAAAAAGAACATCCACTTGACCAAAGTACTTTACATAGGCAGAATAAGATCAAAATAAATAACTAAAATAAATAGAATCAATGCAAGAATAAAACAGCACAATAACACAGACACGCAAATGGCATACAGTCAATAAATTAAAAGAAAAGCATCAGGCCCTAAAAGTATTAAAAGCCAAGGTAAATAAATATTTTAAGCAGTGATTTAAAAGCAGTCAGGTCAGTAGCTGACCCAACATTAAAAGGTAGACTATTCCACAATTTAGGGGCTGCAACAGTAAAAGCACGGTCACCCCAGCGTTTAGATCTGGCCCTAGGAACCTCTAAGAGAAACTGCCTTGAAGATCTTGTAGGTTTGTGCCATTGCACTAATTCAGTGAAGTAGGATGGAGCCAAACCATTTAGAACCTTAAAAACGAAAATCAACAGCTTAAAATAAATTCTAAAACGGACTGGAAGCCAGTGGAGAGAGGCCAGTACTGGGGTTATATGCTCAAATCTTCTCGTACTTAGCAGCAGCGTTTTGAACCATTTGAAGATGAGAGAGGAAAGACTGGTTAACACCAAAGTATAGAGCATTGCAATATTCAAGTCAAGCACGGACTGGAATCTCAAAATCTTTAAAAGAAAGGAATGACTTGACTTTACTTAACGACCTCAGGTGGAAGAAACTAGATTTCACAACAAAGTAGATTTGCTTGTCAAATCTTAAGTCACCATCAAACATCACCCTAGGTTTTTTACAGTCGACTTCAGATGACGAGCCAGGGGGCCCAGACCCTGGTCAAAAGACGCTATGGTCGCCAAGTCTCTAAATGGCACACGCTGTTATGGTTTGTGGACTTGCTTCCTGTTTGGTGCTTTTATTTTGCTTAGTTTCCTGTCCTATGTCACCTCACCTGACCCAGCTTCACCCTAGTGCACAATTTCCATTCATTGTTTTCACCTGATGCTTGTTACCGCCTGGTCTCCTGCCTATATATCCCCCAACCTGTGCCTTTAGTCTGGTTGCTGGCTCACCTGTTCTCCATGCCTCATCGCCTCATCATCTGTATCTCTGCTTTGTTTTTGTATCAGTTGCCTTGGTTACATTTGGACTGTTCTTTTGAGTTTTTCCTGTCAGCAAGATTCTTGGTTGGTTCTCTGGGTTTGTTTCAGTTTAGAGTTTGTTTCATGTAGCCCCCTGACTGTTCTGTTTAGATATTAGTTTTGTACCTGTATTGTGAAGTCCTGACAGGTTGAACATCTGTTTACCCCTTTGTTCCTCTTCAGTTATATTAAACTGAATAAACACTAGACTCTAGACCGTGTCTGCATTTTGGATCCTTCCTTGCCCAAAACTTAACACACACTCAGTTTTACTTTCATTGAGATTTAAAAAGTGGCAAGTAGTCGTTAATAAGCTTAATAGTTCCCCAGGATTCAGGAGGAGACCTCATCCATCAAATACATGAGATCAAAAGGTCCAGTGTGTGTCCGAGCTCATGTGTAGGGTTAGGCTTTGTAGGTAACAATGTGTTCGTACTTTCTAAAGAACGGCACACAAAAAATCGATTTTAAGCATTTGTAAAATGTGTTTTATGTGCAGTTTGTACAGCATGCATTTGTGAACAGCATGACACACACACACACGGCTTTATACGTGCAGATTGCGCAGCACGCATTTTGCAGCACGCATTTGTGATCCTCATGACAGACACACACAAATCGCTTGTTACAGACAAAACGTTAAACACGCATTTGTAACATTTTTGATATTATTTTATCTCCATAAATATGGAGATAAAATACATTTTTGATAGTATTTTATCTCCATAAATAACAGGAACTCATAATACATCATGCAGTAGCCTAATTCACACAGTCATCATAAGTCATCTATATGTAGCCAGGTGGTAAACTTATACTAAGGAAAGATAAATAACTGAATAGTTTTCCACTTATGGGGAAAGGTCCCCTACGAATGTAGCATTTTATGGATATTTGGTGACTGTCTGGTTATTTGGTGTTTACAGATTGTTTTATTTTATTTGTGTGTGCAGCCAGAGCCCACTGCCGTATTTTATTTTGTCATCCCGTATTTTGTGTAAATAAACTGTGACCTGCTGGACAAAAAAGCTGCAAGGACCACAGTAATTGTGTCCTGTGTGTCCACCAATTTACCCGGGCTACATACAAGTTAAACATTATTTAAGTATATGATGTGTACCTTTATTATAAAGTGTTGGTAGGATAGTTCTGTAGAAACTACTGGTGTGACTACTTGGATATATATGTAATGAGGCCTGCACATGATTTCATTTAAGTGGTTACAAGCAAAAAGTTAAATCATGTGATAACTACACCAATTGTTTGTTTAACATGTAAAGTACATTTTATTGCAGATATATTAGAAAACTAAAACTAATACAGTATAATGTAGTATATACAGAAATGTATATCAAAAGCTTGGTTAAAAAATATGTATGTAGAACTGGGTTTAAACTGCTTGTAACAGCTGCTTATACCTAAAATAACAGCAAAACCTGTGTCATGACAATGTCCAACAATATTTGAAGGCAAAGGTTGTTGTAATAACCAAAAATTAATGAGTTGCTCCAGATCCAATGTAGAAACATCAAGTTATAGCTTACATACTGTATAATCCTGAGAATACCCAGGGCCTGTTAATCAACTCTATTTTTCATTTTTAGCTGCACGATAAAGTATAAAATACTGTATTCATTCAGATGACATTTTCATTGTGAGAATATAATTCACTGAAGTCCCAGCCCTGTGCACAACAAAAAACCTATGTTTGTTACTTAAGAAGATGCTGTGAAATTGTAACTATATGCTACATATTGTATTATTCAAAGGCAGCTATGATTCTAAAACTGCTTACAATATTTTATCAAAACACAAAGTGAGTATAGTTTATTCTACTGCTGTAACGTGAGATTAATGCTATGAGAAGAATCTTTTTGTTTTAAACAATACATAAGATGGTTTGAACAACAACAACAACATGCTTTCAGTGATAGGTGATCACTGAATGTCTGATGGCTTCATAAGCTTCTCCTCAACTGTCACCGTGTCCAAGTCAGACATTTCTGCTTCACTTTCGACAGTGGAATTGACTTGACAGTAGTCATCGACTTGACAGTAGTCATCGACTGACTTTGTCTTGTTCTCATTCTGTTTTGTCAAGGCAGAAATGTCCAGAGGGATCGGTGCATTCTGGTAATCACTGGCAGTCCGGTCAAGCATGTTATGGTAGATCTGAAAGAGGAAAAAATTTTGTTAGGAAAAGAAAGAAAATTACATACTAATGCTTCTTATAGATTAGATCAAGTATTTATGTACATTTTCCTTCTAGTGTTGGTGATAAAAAGACAAACAGTGCTTTAAAAAGACCATTTCACTTGTGTTGTTGGCAGGGGCAGATCTAGAAAATTTTGGATGGGGTGGCCAGGTTGGAGCACAGACTACGGGTTGGGTGGGCACATTTGAAACACATGTAAAAATTAAATCCCTAATGAAATAATAAACCAGACATTATTAAGAACCATAGTAGTTATTTTGCGTAAAAATGAGACGCATACAGTGCTTCCTTTAGCTAACTACTCTTTATGTACTCCCAGCTGGCTCCACCCATGGTTGTTGGATTCTGCAGGCCTACCTCTTCCTCCCTCTGCAGCTCGTCACACATAAAGGACACCAGTTTGGAGAAAGAAGGACGGTCAGAGGAATTCAGGGCCCAACACTTACACATGATATGGTATCTGGAAAAGTAAGAAGAGGGATGAAAATTCAGACCTATACACAGCTCTGGAAAGACCTGCGGTTTGCAGAAATCTGCAGTTATCCATGACATATTGCATAGAAGTCAAAGTTAGCTGGATTACACTGTTTGTTGTAGATTTGAAGACAGTGTTGGAACAACTCCAATTCATTACAGTCATGTAAAAAGTACTGCATTATAATGTAAGTAAAAGTCCTCCATTCAAATACACAGAAATACTCTAAGCAAATTTACTCTACTTAAAGTATCAAAAGTCAGTACTGTAAAATGGCCAATTTCTCAGCAGTATATATGCATTATATTATGAGGTAACTGTTACTAATATTCTAATGTTTAAGCAGAATTTACTGATGTGGATGGTTGAGGTGGAACTAGGTTAACTACTGTATATAAAGTTCAGTCCCTAACAATCTTAAGAACAGTTATGCCTACCTTAGGTTCTATATTGAAAATCTTCTTAAATCAAATAAAATCTGCTTGTTTTTAATTCACATGAAACTGTCTAAAGACAGACATTATCTTGAAAAAATAAAGACCTACACAGACAGAGTTGCATAGCATGGACACTCCATCTTAAATCCTCTCTCAATCATTGAATAGAATATGTGATCCACCTTTATCCCAGGATACGGAGTGACACCTGAAACACACAAAGAGATGTAATGGTTATTGTGCATGCACTAGGTTTAAATATGCTGCTCATGGAGTGTGCTTGTCTATGAAAGCTACCAAGTGAGAAGATCTCCCAGAGCAGAATGCCGTAAGCCCAGACGTCACTCTTTATGGTGTACATCCCCTCAAAGATGCTCTCTGGTGCCATCCACTTCACTGGTAAACGCACCTGTTTGACAGCAGAGCCATTTCAACCATATAATGTGTGAGAAATGCTTCAAGACAGACATGATTTAGTAATAAAAGAATGAGGTACAAAAAGTGCCACATACATTTCCTCTCACAACATAGTTGGAGTCGTTGTCAATGTCCCGGGCCAATCCGAAGTCACCAATTTTCACCAGTCTGCCCTCTGCAACCAGCACATTTCGAGCAGCGAGGTCCCGGTGGATACACTGCAGATGGAGACGACGAGTAGTCAGAATATTTACTTCTATCATATCACACGTGATCCACAAAAACACATCCAAAACTGTAGTCTGACATTGTAACATTTTGTGATTTTTGTCTTATGTCAGTTCATTAAATTAATGTGCTATCTGAACAGTATGTAACAACCATTTTGCATTTATGTTTATTAATATCCATAAAACATCTGGATAAAACAGAGCAGCAGCTGGAGATATAATAAGTTAAGGAAGTTTTCTTTTTATTTAAAGTGTAAAACTGTGTATGTTTATGAAAATATGCACATTGATAAACTGAAGTATATCTCACTGAAAAACAGATGGACAAATTCTTTTTATTCAAAGAGTGGTGTATAGGGCCGAATCTATCTGATAACTTTACCATCAGTTAATTTGCCAGTTACTGAAAAATGCCAGTCAAAATATCCTAAAGTCATGTTGCTGTTTCTAAACAGTGTGTTTCATCTGATTAACAGTCCAAAATAGTTGTTAATTAATTTTTTTGATTTATTGATTGACTAATCATTTCACATTTAATGACGCTCATCCAAACATGGAAACTGAGACACAACGGCTGCATTTAGGTAGAGAGTGTTAGGTTGTCAGTTTCCACAGCATGGCCCGTTTGCCTCTTACGTTCTTGGACGAGAGGAACTCCATGCCTTTAGCCACTTGGAAAGCAAAGCTCAGCAGGTCATCAAAGGTCAGGGCTTGCAGGTCTTCATAGACATCTGGGTCTGCAGATAAACTTGGATCAGTGATGATCAACGCATCTCAGAGGGAGTTTTACTCTCCTGTTTGGACTTTGATTTGACCTTTTTGTTGACATTTTAGTTTATCTGTTTATTTGACAACATGCAAGTTCACTTAGGTTTCGATGGCATTCTCTGACCTTCACAGATTTTCACCTTACCAGAGTTGAGGGTGAGGAGGCCGATGTCTTCCTGCCCCCTGGTGGTAGAGCAGTACATGGGCACATAACTGTCCACTGTTGTTTCAAGCTCACTGTGAAAATACCAACATGATTGATATTATGTTAAACCAGTCTTCAGAATCATTTTACATATATAGAAAACTGTCTTCATGTTTCATCTGCCATGTTTGATCCTGCCTTGCTAAGCTATCCTCAGTAAGATTTGTGTTTTTTGTTTGTTCTGCCTGTGTCCTGACCTAGAGATTTTCCTGGACTGCAGGTTTTTGTAAAGGCTGTCGAAACGGTCCTTGTTGAACGCGTCGGTCACTGACTTGTGGTACCGCTCACTG